CAGATTTTTGATCACTTAGGTATGTCTTTTATAGTAAAATCATTTATTTTAAAAGTAAATATAATAAATAAATAGATCTTAAATTTTTTCTTTACCTATATACATAAATAATGATTAGAATAATAAACAAGCAACAATGATTAAATTAAAAGGTGTTTTATCTCTGACTTTATTCATTTAATTATTTATCATAATGATGTTATTAATATAAGTTAAAATAAAAGAGAAATTTATATACATAAATAAATAATAAACATAACTTGAATGATTGATAAAACGTTTGTTAGTATATTTTGTTCATAGATCTTGTCCTTAATGCTTGCTTCGATTACTCCTATATATACAACTATTGATAATTGATAAAACGTTCGTTAGTATGTTTTGTTCATAGATCTTGTCCTTAATGCTTACTTCGGTCATTCCTATACAGCTATTGAATAGTTGATAAAACATTCGTTAGTATGTCTTGTTCATAGATCTTGTCCTTATTGCTTACTTCGATTAACCTAAACAAACTATTGAATAATTGATAAAACGTTTGTTAGTATGTTTTGTTCATAAATCTTGTTCTTAACGCTTACTTCGATCACTCCTATACAACTATTGAATAATTGATAAAACGTTTGTTAGTATGTTTTGTTCATAAATCTTCTCCTTAATGCTTACTTCGATCACTCCTATATATTGAATAATTGATAAAACGTTTGTTAGTATGTTTTGTTCATAAATCTTGTCCTTAATGCTTACTTCGATCACTCCTATACAACTATTGAATAGTTGATAAAACGTTTGTTAGTATTTTTTGTTCATAAATCTTGTCCTTAATGCTTACTTCGATCACTCCTATATATTGAATAATTGATAAAACGTTCGTTAATATGTTTTGTTCATAGATCTTGTCATTAATACTTACTTCGATCACTCCTATACAACTAATTAATGGTTGATAAAACGTTTGTTAGTATATTGTTCATATATCTTGTCCTTATTGCTTACTTCAACCACTCCTATACAAACTATTGAATAATTGATAAAACGTTTGTTAGTATGTTTTGTTCATAGATCTTGTCCTTATTGCTTACTTCAACCACTCATATACAAACTATTGAATAATTGATAAAACGTTTGTTGGTATGTTTTGTTCATAAATCTTGTCCTTAATGCTTACTTCGATTACACCTACACAACTATTGAATAATTGATAGAACGTTTTTTAGTATGTTTTGTTCATAAACCTTGTCCTTAATGCTTACTTCGATCATTCCTATACAAACTATTGAATAATTGATAAAATGTTTTGTTAGTATATTTTTGTTCATAAATCTTGTCCTTAATGCTTACTTCGATTACACCTACACAAACTGGATCTTAATCTTTATTATCATCCTCAAAAAAGATGATTCGTTGTCATCGTTTGCATATTATTGTTTAATGTTTCTATAACAACTACTGATTGATGGATATTCATAATAATCATTAATGAAACTTTAATCAATATAAAGTCAGAAATATAAACAATCACTAATAAAATACCTTTTAGTTTTTGCTGAATCCCATCTACATAAATTCTTCATGACTATTAAAATTTCTATAAAATAGTTTTTCGTGAACCTCTCTAAAACTTATTAACCAATACCCCCCATAAAGTAATGACCATATGAAAGCTTAAAGTATTCTACACCTTCTCATTTACTATCAAGTCTTTTAAAGCGATATTGAGAAATAATCTGAGGTTTGAAGTGAAAAAGTAATACCGTTTTTGAATAGCCGTGAATTCATGTAGAGGAGACCTTTCGGTATGAAAAAGTATTCATTAGAAAGCTTTAATGGAGTACTTTCATTTTAGTCTAACAACGAATTTCGAGTTTATTATAAAAATAACGAGATATTTTAAAAAAACTTCATGTGACACGAATTTCGAATTTATTTTCACATATAGAAAAGCAGCCTCAGGGAAATGTCACACGACTATTAATAACGGAAAAACACCGAGACTAATCACGGAGTAATAGATATTTGAATTAAAGGGAAAAAAATTATTTCTGCCAGTAATATATCGGATCTATCTGATAACAAGAACTAATAGACCATTTGAAAATTTATTTATTAATTAAATTAATTAAATACATATCAGCGAAACCTCCATTTTTTATGAAAAACGGAACTATAGATTCCGTGAATATGATACATTTATTATTATGGAAAAAACATGGGAATGTATATTTATTAATATAAACGGAAAAAACGCAGAGTTTAATAACGAAAAACATTGAGACTAATCACGGAGTAAATTTTTTACAGGGCGACTACTACCAGCTTAAAGGAAGGAAAGAAAAAGATGAGGCATTATCATGGAGTTCATGGTGTGAAAGTGTGTCCTAAAACGTTTTGTCGCATAGTATGGAATCACGATCTTAATGCTGACTTGAACTTCCTTCAAATATTTTTGGCAATGAAAGAAGGCTGAAGGAATAATAAAAACAAAAGTGGTCATTTCCAGTTTAAGATGGTTTGCAGTATTAGAGTTGTTAGTCGAAAGGTATAGTTTCAACAAACATTTAGGCATTTTGACTGTCGAAATATATTTGACAAGGTCACTTGATTTGCCGTAATGTCGAAACATGTCGAAATGTTGAAAGTCTAAATTGATGTCAAAAGCCTAAATTGATGTCGAAAGTCTAAATTGATGTCGAAAGTCTAAATTGATGTCGAAAGTCTAAATTGATGTCGAAAGTCTAAATACTTGTCGAAAGTCTAAATTGATGTCGAAAGTCTAAATACTTGTCGAAAGTCCAATTGATGTCTGAAAGTCTAATTATTAATGTATAAAACTGACTATTTGCACCACCAATAAATAATATTAGTAATAAATTTGAAAATGAGAGCCAACTTTTAATAATAATAAAAATAATGCGGGTTTTTTTTTGTTTGAAACTTGCTGATTAAATGATTAAATGTATATACACTAAAAATATTGATTGCATTCATCTTTTATCATTAATACAATGTAACTTCACTGTGACACATGGTCTCCAAGGAAATTTAATTTTTTCTTCCAACATTCAATTCAATCTTTATTGAATAAAAATTATAAAGTAGTAGATTTATAACAATTATAAGAAAAAAGCAAATTTCATAATTTTTTTTCAGATTCATCATAGAAAAATAAAGTTTGTATTTTTTTTGCGAATTATTCCCAAGATTGTTATAAGGAAATAGATTTTATTTTTATTGTAATTTATATTAATAAATTATGATTAATTAAAGAATTTTTTAGTATATACATTTCATAATGGAAGAGGTATTAATATCACAAGATTATTTAGATCATTTACAAAGAGAAGATGGTAAATAACAGTTTTAGAAATTAAGTTATTTTATAATTACTAGAATATTAATACTATTATTAATTTATAGATTGTAGCACTTCTACAACATTACAAAGAAGATGTATCGTTGAAGTGGAAGATGATAATGCTAATATTGAAGAAACTACAAAGTCTCAATCAAAACAATCTAATGGCTGACCTTTAGCTGGTGTTTGGGAGTTTTTTGATTATGATAAACAAGAATCTAAAAATGGTCATCGTTGGGCTACTTGTTTTAAATGTAATATGCATTGGAGTCAGGGTAGACCTGTTGAACTTGAAGAGCATATTGCTTTATATTGTACAACTCAAGTAAAAGAAATAATTCAATTTTATTCTCAGATTGTTGCTAAACGAAAAGGCAAAGGTAGTCAAGCAGTGTCTTCTAATGTAATACAGGGAATAGAACCAACTAAAAAAAAAAGGAAGGCAGCAACAAATCAAACATTATTGAGTGACTTTATAGAAAGTACAAAACTAACTTCTCAACGTGAAAATGCCATTAATTCATCACTTCTTAGAGCATTTATTGTATGCAATATTCCATTTCATACTATTTCCAATCCATATTTTATTGAAGCACTTCGACAACTTCGACCTGCATATAATCCTCCATCATGTCAACTATTTTCTGGAAGCTTATTAAATTTGGAAATTGTAAAAATTAATCAGAAACTTTATTCTTTGATGGAAAAAGCCACCAATCTAACCCTTGGTAAGTTGGTAATAATACATTTTATATTTGTATTAAATATTTTTACTAATATTTACAATTGAATAATAGGATTAGACGGATGGACCGATTATTCAGGCAAATCATTATGGAATTTTGTAATACATACATCTGATGGACATGAATATCTTTGGAAATTAATGGATTTATCTGACCAAAGTCATACAGGGGAATTACTTCGAGATTGTATCCAACAAGTTTTTGATGAAATCGGTGTAGAAAAATTTGGTGCAGTGGTTACAGATGGAGGCTCTAATTGTGAAGTTGCACGTCAACTTATCACTACTCAATATCAACATATATTAAACTTGCGATGTGTTTCACATTGCTTGAATTTAATATCAGGTGATATTTTAAAACACAATTTTGCAGATAAAATTCGTCAAAAATGTTCAACTATAGTTACTTTTTTTAACAAATCACACCGAATACATGCTTTATTATTAAAATTGATTAATGATAAAGGAATCCAAGGTGGTGGATTAAAGAGCTATGTTAAAACCCGTTGGACAAGTGTTTACAAATGCACATCATCAGTATATTACCTTAAATCATGTCTTGAAGAGGTAAAATTATATGAAAATTTTAAATTAATAAATTAATTTCAAAAAATTATTTTTTTATAAAATCTATTATTTTTTAGATTTTAGAACAAAATCTAAACTTATTTATTAGTAAATCAGGAAAATCTGTCAAAAATATTTTAAAATCACATGGATTCTTTAATGATGTTTTTGATCTTGCTCAAGTCCTTAAACCAATTAAGGAAGCTATTATATCTCTTGAAGCTAAAACAACAAATTTAGCAGATTGTTATCTAGGATATGTTAAATTAGCTGCTGCAATTAAATCAATTCCTCAAGACCAGCATTTAATGTTTCATCGTGCATGTGTTACAATATTCAATAATCGATTTAAAGTTTTTGATTATGATGAATATCTCTTAGCATATTATTTGCATCCACAGTACCAAGGTTTGTTTTAAATATATAATTTTTATATTTTATTTTTTTAATTCTTTTTAAAATTTTATTATTATTTTAGGTGCTGGAATTAAATCATCTCAATTTGCTTGAATAGCTAGTATTGCAGGTCGTTTATGGATAAAAATGGGAAGTAAAAATAGAACCAAACTTGATTTACTTAAAGCACAATTGCGTCAATATGCTTGTAATGAAACACCATACAATGAAACTTATGTTACAAATATTGATACTCCTTTACATTGGTGGAAAACTTGTGGGGATGGAACTAAACATAATCCAGGTGTTCTTTCAACTTTAGCAATTAAATTATTTTCTGTCCGTCCACATTCTGCTAGCTGCGAATGTATTTGGTCATGTTGTGGGTGGTTTCAGGGAGAACGTTGAACTCAATTAACATCATCACATTTAGAATCCATGGTAAAAATAAATAGCTTTTTGATTTCAAATGCAAAACAAGAATTGCAATATTATGGTGTAGATTTGACAGAAGAAGAATTGTTGGGTGTTTTTCAAGAAGCTGCTTTGGTAGCTGAAACTAATGATGATTTAGAAGAATTTGTTGACCTACCTGATGATTCTAATATTGAATATGAAGATCAACAATTATTGTTAGATGATTTAATGGATTTAACTAATCCTGAATTTGGCAATGAAGATAAGGATTCAAATAGTGAGGAAAATGATGAAAATGATGATAATGACACAGATAGCAATAATGAAGATAATGAATTTGATGAAGATGAATTTGGAGCAGCATTTGTACAAAGTTTACAGAATGAATAGAAACATATAAAATTTGTGTTTAATTTTTTTAATTTTATACCATAAAAAATTTTTTTTAATAAATAAAAATAATGATATATTGTTAAATATTTTTGATATTGTTTAAATAATTGAACTGCACTGTCAATCAATGCCTGAAAAGGGTATAATTTAAAGCATTTTGACAACATTTAGGCATTTTGACATTATTTAGACTTTCGACATCAATTTAGACTTTCAACAAGTATTTAGACTTTCAACAAGTATTTAGACTTTCAACATCAATTTAGACTTTCAACATGCCTAAATGTCGAATGACAAAATGTTTTGACAAAGCTCAAAACGTTTCGACTAACAACTCTATGCAGTATATACTTATTAGATAATAATAACCAAAGTAAATTACAAATAATAATTTTATCATGGCATAGAAATTAGAAATTAAATTTTATTTCATACTAAATATTCTTATATTAACATTTTTTCTTATATAACATATATAACAACATATAATAAAATTATACAAAAAATTTATAAAAAATTTATATATAAATTAAATCATGAAAGTTTTGATTAATTCAAATCAATTCAATCAATTTGAATCTTCTTCTTGAGAAGCTTCCAAACGTTCCCAAACATCCCCCGTTTTAGGACGTGAATCTCTCTCAAATTGCCAACATTCTAAAAAAATTTAAGAATTATTATCATTAATATGATTATTAATTAAATGAATATATTTATATGTATTTAAAAAATTATTACCTTTATATAAATCTTCATAAAATTTAGGAGTATCTGGAACTGAATTTTCACGATGATTTTCATAAACAATTAAATAACATAACTTACATGGCTCATTAGAAAATTCTTCAAATGGTATTTTTTGTGATGAGATCTCCCAAAATAACACACCTAAACTATATATATCAGATATAATTTCATCTCTCATGAATTCTTTTGGGTTCTTTAGATGCTGAGGATCTAAATAGGGTATTGACTCAAAATATTGAGCTAAAGTTTTTTTAGATTCTTCTATTTTTTTGAACTTTCCAAAATTGTGGAGCTTTATTGTACCATTGATCATACCAATGTTGTCTGACCTCTATTATTTATTATTACACAATATATATAAAATATATTATTAATTATCAGAAAAAAAAAATTATACATAAAAATGTTTAGATAATTACCAAATTGCCATGAAACATATCATATTGATGTATACAATATAATCCACCTGTTAATTGTTTGGCAAGTTTGAATTTTTCATCCCATGATAATTCACTGCTACTCAAATAATCTCTTAAATTATCATCAGCATAATCTAAAACCACAGTAACAATATTATCAACATTAGACTCTTGTGTTAGTGTTAAACCAATGTAGCTCAAAACATTGTCATGGGCTGAAACTCTACGAAGTTTTTGTACCTATATAAATAAATTTTTTATTTAAATAATAAAATAAAAATTTACAAAATAAGATTCAAAAAAATATTTATTTATATTAAATAACCAACCTCTAAAAGTACATGCCTCAATGAGTACTGAGGATTAAATTTAGATCTTGACAAAGTTACGACTTTTTGTAATGGCCTTAATTTAGCCTTTTTTAATATTGAGTCAGCGGAATTTTCAACCAACTCTACATTCTCAAAATCATTGTTGTAATCATAAAACAACATGAAACCATTTGCTTTAGCCTTATATATCCATTCTCTGGCTTCTTGATCGTCGGGCAAAAGTTTAAGGTCGTCCATATTAGCCATTTTTGTTATTTATATTTTAAAAATGAAAGTTTTATTTTTTTTTTTGATATAAATAAAATTTTATATTTTTTTTATTTAAAAGATAAAACGAAAGGAAATTTTCTAAATTTATATTTAACGTTTTATCAATCTTAAAATCAGTCAATGATAAGTATATAATCTTATTTATACAAACATTACAACTTTTAAGTTTACAAGTTTTACAAGTTTTACAAGTTTTATCAGGAATTCAACAAAATAATTTGCACAAATTAATTTTTAATGGTACGCCAGAATTCACTGCGCTTATAAAAACTTAATCAGCGGAGAAAAAATTTATACATTTTCGTGTAACTTCTTCTAAGTGAAAAAAAAATTCCCCTATGTCGACTCTTTTCCCAACAATTTAAGGGTTCAGAAACAGCTCTGGAGTTTTAATCAAATTTGGAGTTAGTTTTTAAAAAACATTTTGTATTGACATTTCATTGGTTCGTATTTCATTTCCTTATTGAATATTAATATGTATTTTGAAATTATCATATTTCAGGCGACTCTTAGTATTAGTTTCCTTGCACTCTAGGCTCGTGAAACTTAGAGAAAGCGATGTATCATATGTTCCCGCATTACATAATGCAAGCTTTTATTAAAAAACTTGTTTATAACTAAATGATATTGAATGGCCGAAAACAAAAAATAATGGTTTGAAAATTGGGAATTCGACTTCATAATTAAGATAGGTTCTAAATTTGTACTAGTTAAAACTACGCATCTATATTGTAAAATACAATTTCTCCATGAGTAGATGTTTTTTCATCTAGTTGATAAGAAAAAATATAATATTTTATATTTAAAACTTTACAAGGCTTATTAATTACAAAGATAGCCATATGTATTATTTTTTTTGCAAAATCGTGTTACATACACTATTATGTAAAATTTAGAAATTATATGTATTCCGACAGATATGGTATGTGAAAGAGAAATAATAATCACACAAAAAGAAAAAATTCCATTACAAGATTGATAGATAACAAATTATACACCGCAAATAAATAATCACTTAATGTGTATTTATTAAATATTCATAATAATTATTTTTTTCTGTCAAAAAATATTTTTCTTCCTCAAATTTTTAAAACAAAGAATAAATGGATAATGGCATTTGTTTATATTGTAATCAACCCAACACAGGAAGACAATGGTGTAAAACATGCGATCCAGGATTCTTAGTTAGGAGTTGGAATGTCGAAAATGAATCCATAAGGGAATTTATCTTAAACAATATAAAGCAAGCGGATAATTACAATGACCCATTTCTCGAATACATTCCTTATGAAAATCTTGAAATTATCGAAAGAATTGGTGAAGGTGGCTATGGAGTTGTATATCATGCCAAATGGAAAAATGGATTGAGATACTGTGAAGGGAATGTTAAAAGTAAACACAAATCAGTTGATGTCGCCATGAAAGAATTAAAAAATGGTTATGATATATCCAATGATTTTTTATCAAAGGTAAATGAATAATAATATAAATAAAATCTAAATTAATGCATTTATCACACATATTAATACTAATACACATTATATTTCGTAAATATCATGTGTATACCTTGCACACATATAATAGATTGAAGCTCATTTTCAATGCTTCTATGAAGATCAAAAGAGTATCACACAGAAATTATTAAGATTATATGGTATTACACAGAATCCAGAAACCAAAAATTATATAATAGTTATGGATTATAAAGAAGCTAATCTACGAAATTCTCTGGATAATAAAATCCAAGAATCCCTGGAATCTCAACAATCCCATTGGACAAGTAGGATCGAAATTCTTTTCAACATATCAACTGGTATGAGAAGAATTCATCGTACAGGATGTATTCATCGCAATCTTCATTGTGGGAATATTTTAGTAAAAATTAAAGCAAATCGAATCCATACATATGTTGCAGGATTTGGATTTTCATCGGATGTTAGAACTAATAGTAATAGGAATGTGTTATCTGGAGTTTTACCATATATTGCACCAGAAGTACTGCACGGACAACCACAATCCAAAGAATCAGATGTTTATAGTTTTGGCGTGATAATGACCGAAATGACTACCGGAAAACCACCATTTTATGATAAATCACATGACGAAAATTTGGCTAAAGAAATTTGCGAGAATGGATTGAGACCGGATATAAATACTAGAATCACTCCACCGAATTACTTCCGATTGGCTAAACAATGTCTTGATGCGAATCCAGGAAAAAGGCCAACTTTTGATGAATTGGACGAGATATTAGGGTTCTGGTATGATTCATTATTTGGTCATGGTCTTTTTCCAAACAGGCGGGAAGAAGCTGTTGCTCTTAAGGTGCATTTTGAACCATTTGGTGATATTCAGATTGAATCAAGTTATACTCTTCATAAAGGTGCTTGTTATACTAGAAGAACATTTGATTTCAGTCAATTTTCTGAACCGAAGAACCGCAAAGATCATTATATTTATCCACAATTATAAAAAAAAATTATCCTCATATCAATATCATTCATTTTATTATTTATTGTTAAGAAACATTTTTTTTTTTTTTAAAAATTATATGAAATTAAAAACAATAATAATTGCTTTTATTAAAATTCTGGGAGTATCTTTAACTTGTTCTTCAAGAAGATTTCATAAAACAATCACATAACATAATTTACATATTATTTTCAAAGGGAATTTTCTCAGTTGAAATTTTCCAAAACAGTATGCCAAGACTATAAATATCTGTTTTTTCGATCTATAAACTTTTTTTTTCGGATTCTTTAAATATCGAGATCCAAATATTGTGTCAAGTTGAAATGATGTGAGAAATGCTGTCGACTTGGGCGAATTAATCGCTTAAATGACTCAAAATTATATAACCTAATGCTACCATTAAGGGTATTTATATTTTTAGATGATAAAGAAAAAGGTTAATTATTTCATAAAAATTTTTAAAAAAATAAAGACAATGATAGATACCAGGCTAACAATATTATTAACGTGTAAACAATACAATGCGGATGTTAATTCTTTAGCAAGTTTTAATTTTTGCATCCATGACAAATTATTAGTACCTAGATATTCGTGCAAATTGTCTACGAATAAATACTTTCTTGAGCTGAGTCTATTTTAGTTTTTTTTTTTTTTGAATCGAAATTAAGATGTAAATAAATTACGGTGCAACCTTCGACTAAAAACCGAAAATAATTTATTTAGTAGAAAATAACAAAACAAAAACAAAAACCTCTTTACAAATTCTTTCCTTGTGTATAAATCATTTAATTTTAATTCAATAAAAGAAACCTTTGTATTTTATTTGAATAAACTTTTTTTTAATACAATATCAGGCGAGTGAATGTCTCGTAATTATTATTATTTTCAAATACAAGAAATTCATTTCTTTTAGCTTCATTCAACCATCCAAATGCTTGATTTTCAGTTTCTATTCCAGCAATCATATTTACAGTCCCCGGCGAAAAGGATGGCAGTGGGAATGTCTTCCCTTTTTTTTGAGCATAGCATTGCATTTCCAATTGGGATATTTATTTATTGTACTAAATTGTACAGTGGAATGCTATTACAAAAAAAAGAACCTTAAATATTGTTTTTGTGCTTGTTTTATTTTTTAAAATGCTAAGAGCTCTAAATTTGATAGACAAGCACAATAGGTAGTATTTTCAAATTTCTTGATATCCTACTTAATAATTTGTCTAGATTTTTTTTAAAAGAATTAGCTTGTCTTTCAACTACATTATACTATAACTGTTATATTGCGTTATTGTTGAAGGCATGCTTAATAATAAAATGAATCAAATATATAATTATGAAAGAAAATATTTAATTTTCATTATCTTGACAGTGTTACTACCATTGGGTTTCTCTTAACAATGTAGTTCAAATAGTAGTACCTTTGAGCTTGTACAACTTCTGTATAATGAACAGATTTCGTGTATAGGTATTTTAATTCTGATACGCTTTTATCATTATACCGATGTAATACAAGATGGAAAAATATCGTCATTCAACCAAAATTATCAAGAGGCATCTAATGATGGGTACTGGTTGGGAAAAACATTTTAAAAAAGGGCTGACTTCGCAGATTATTTGCAATACTAACCTTGATTAAGGTTGAATAAAGGTGAATGGAGACATACAAATTATCCGTTGTTTAATAAGATTTATTGTCCTAATTTTTAGCTTTTATTTTAAAAAATAACTTCAATTTTGTTATGTAATTGCATGAGTAAGATTAAAAACTAAACTGCCATTCTTTTCGCCGGCCAAGCCGTTTAAAAATTCCTTAGCCGGCTAACATCACTATATAAGATGCCATTGTGCATGGTTTATTTCTCAGAAACAATATCATAATTTTGTCTCCAACTTAAATTTTTAAATTCATTTGTTAAATAATAGTGGACTTTATCTTTTATATGTTTCATTACAAATATACATTCCTTTGTAATTGGATCTTGTGTTAATCCATAACTTCTTCATAATTTTTGAACTATGGAAAATAACATTTTTTAACTTTCATTGCTAATAATAAAAAAAAAATAATAATAATTTACCTTATTAAGAAATTGTTCAATTATGCAATTTTTTTTAATACCACAATTTAAAGTCTTTACTGAATCTTTCTCCATTTACATAATATATGTTTCCAACCATTTATCCAAGCAGCCTTGTATATAGTTGAAAAATCAGCCTTCATTTATCTTCTCAAATCATTATAAATAATCCATTGAAAATGCTGTTTATTGTCATATTTAAATGAAAATTTTGGAATCACCTAATTGGCACCACCCCAATTAGTATTATACCAAAATTTTCATTTAAATATATTTATCTTCATCATAAATATCGTTTTCATGCTTATTTCCATTTAAAAATTTTCCCATTTTCAATTAACTAAAATTTATTTATTTATTTAAATTTGAAAAGTTTTTTTCAAGAGTTTTATTGATAATAAAAATTTATTCAATTCATTTTATTATAAATAAAACCAAAAAATATATGTTGAAGATGGAGAATATTCAGATAAAAAAAAAAAAAAATCATAAACTGATATTTTTTTATATAAGGTAGATTTCATATAATTTACAAGTGTGAAATAAATTATAAAGTATAATTCTATACTTAAGGTGGGTAGAGCTATTGTAAAATAATGGAAGTTTCGATCAATTCAATCAATTTGAATCTTTAGCTTCTTCTTGAGAAGCTTCCAAAACATTCCCAAACATCCCCAGTTTTAGGACGTGAATCTCTGTTAAATTGCCAACATTCTAAAAAAATTTAAGAATTATTATCATTAATATGATTATTAATTAAATGAATATATTTATATGTATTTAAAAAATTATTACCTTTATATAAATCTTCATAAAATTTAGGAGTATCTGGAACTGAATTTTCACGATGATTTTCATAAACAATTAAATAACATAACTTACATGGCTCATTAGAAAATTCTTCAAATGGTATTTTTTGTGATGAAATCTCCCAAAATAACACACCTAAACTATATATATCAGATATAATTTCATCTCTCATGAATTCTTTTGGGTTCTTTAGATGCTGAGGATCTAAATAGGGTATTTGTTCAAAATATTGAGCCAAAGTTTTTTTAGATTCTTCTATTTTTTTGTACCGTCCAAAATTGTGGAGCCTTATTCTACCATTGATCATACCAATGTTGTCTGACCTCTATTATTTATTATTACACAATATATATAAAATATATTATTATTAATCATCAGAAAAAAATAAATTATATATAAAAATGTTAGATAATTACCAAATTGCCATGATACATATCATATTGATGTAGACAATATAATCCACTTGTTAATTGTTTGGCAAGTTTGAATTTTTCATTCCATGATAAGTCACTGCTACTCAAATAATCTCTTAAATTATAATCAGCATATTCTGAAATCACAGTAACAATATTACTAGCATTAGGCTCTTGTGTTAAACCAACATAGCCCAAAACATTGTCATGAACTGAGGCTTTATGAAGCTTTTGTAACTGTATTAAATAAATTTTTATTTAAATAATAAAATAAAAATTTACAAAATAAGATTCAAAAAATATTTATTTATATTCAATAACCAACCTCTAAAAGTACATGCCTCAATGAGAACTGAGTATTAAATTTAGATTTTGACAAAGTTACGACTTTTTGTAATGGCCTTAAAACAGCCTTTTTTAATATTGAGTCAGCAGAATTTTCAACCAACTCTACACGCTCAAAATCACTGCAATCATAAAACAACATGAAACCATTTGCTTTAGCCTTATATATCCATTCCCTGGCTTCTTGATCGTCGGGCAAAAGTTTAAGGTCGTCCATATTAGCCATTTTTGTTATATATATTTTAAAAATGAAATTTATATATAAAGTGGAAAGTTTTTGATAAAAATGAATTATAATATTTTAGGAAAAAATTTTTTATTTTTTAAAATTTTACAGTATAACCTTAGTATAACCTTGGTACGAAATGGCTGGATATATAGGAAAATTTCATTCCAAAATTCGTTGAAATTACTAATCGCGCGTTTCACGAATTTTTATAGTGTGCGGCAAGATTTTTAAAAAGTATATTAATAAACTGCCAATGTAATCATTAATTATTATTGTTATTATTAACATTATTAATATTAGTGCTATCATTTCTTTTTTCCTTTTATATGGTTTTATATTTCTATTTTTTCCCAATCTTTTATTTATTTACAATCCTATCTTAAAATCAGTCAGATGATCAAAAGTATATTTTAGATAATCTTATTTTAGGTAAAGCATTCATTACAATATTTTCTCAAATTTGTAGTGTAATTTCATGTGTGTAGCATTACCAACATTACATGGTAAGCATATTAATCTTCAAGAATCAAAGAATTTAATGATGTATTTTTTGCTATCCAATTCAATTTACTTGTTTATAGAGATATGCAACTTTGAAATGAGATTTTGAGATTAAACTTTCAACAATTCTATGACTTGTATACTTTGTATCTAGAACTTTTATCATTCATGAATAGCTGGTCTCTTAATAAAATTTAAGATTCAAGTTTAATATCAACTTTATTGAAAAAATAATCATTTTTAAAAAATACAAATTATTTTTTATTATAATTTCCGACTACAAAAGTGTTTTTATAAGAGAAACAAAGAATATATTTTGGCAAACAATTACCATCACATGTATAATTAATTAGTATTAGTATATTATATCAATATCGTATTAGTAGTATTATAATTAGATCAACCAAACGTTATTATTATACTAATATTAATACAGATATTCGGATATCCTATTACTATCCATTCATCAAAACTCTATCCGAATCCAAGCTCTAACGGATATTCACATATTCATGAATATTAATGTTAACACTAATATCCATCGATCAACCGTGGGGTAAAATTGATATCCGGATAGTCGCGAATATTCACGGACATTCACGGATACTATCCGACAGATATAATCACTAGATGAATTTGATGAAAGTTTCGATGAAGAAGAATTAGAGCATTTGGAAATTAGTAGAAGAAAATGTCCTTTGAACTAGATAAATGTTTGTTGTTGTTGTTGGTATTCATAGTAGAAAAAACTATTTTTTGAACTAGGAAATATTTTGCCATCGTTGTCATTCGTCATTATTAGTAGAAGCTACTTTTGAATTTGATGAACGCTTTGTTGTTGGGGTTGGGGTTGTTGTACATCATTATTAGTAGAGGCTATTTTGATGTTCTCGTTTTCTTTCTTTTCGAATTTTTCAATATTCTCGTGGTAAAGATCGGCCACCGGAAAAGATCGGATTGACAATAGTGTAACAAAAAATCTTTTAATATTAAAAGATTTTTATTGAATTAATTATTCTTACCTAATATACTATATGTATGTATGTCTGATAATCGTGGGAAAAAAAACGAAAAAGAAGCCAGAGAGTGGTTAGATAGTGCAAAAGAAAATAAATTTATTACGTTTGTAGACTTCGACAAATTCAGAGATGTAGTGAAAATCGAGGATTCAGCCCACATTATAATAAAGAGGGCCTTTTCAAGGCCTTTAGGAAGAGAAGTAACCTTGACGACATTTAAGATAAGTCTTAGAGATTTAGTTAAAGAGGTTCGTTGTCGAAATTAAGAATTAATAAAACCATTTTTTAAATCTTAATCCATTTTATTTTTATCTTATTTATACAGTTACAAAAGTACCAAAAGGTTGCAGCACATAATAATATTTTGAGTTATATTGGTTTAGCGCAAGATCCCGATCAAAGTAACTTATACAATTATAGTTTGATTTTAGATTATGCTAAGGATAATTTAAGAGAACATTTAAGTGCCAATGAATTAACATGGGCTCAAAAATTAACACTTGCTGGAGAATTAACAAGTGGATTATATTGTATACATGATTCTGATATGTTTCATGGCAATTTGGTAATATCTTTAAAGATTTATATGCAATCTGTGATTTTTTTTTTTAATAATTAATAATATAATTTATATATTTATAATAATAATAGAGTTCAGAAAATATTGGTATTATCAAGGGTACAATAAAGCTCCACAATTTTGGAAAGTTCAAAAAAATAGAAGAATCCAAAAAAACTTTGGCTCAATATTTTGAATCAATACCCTACTTAGACCCTCAGCATCTAAAAAACCCAAAAGAATTCTCTATGGATCTAAGGGTAGCCGATATATACAGTTTAGGTGTATTACTTTGGGAGATTTCATCACAAAAACCACCATTTGAAAAATATTCTAATGAGCCATGTAAGCTATGTTATAAAATTGTTTATGAAAATCTTCGTGAAGATCCAGCTCCAAGAACTCCAGAATTTTATGAAGATTTATATAAAAGTAATTATTTTTAATTATATCCATTATTTATTTATTAATAATCAAATTAATGATAATAATTCTTAAAAATTTTTAGAATGTTGGCAAACTGAAAGAGATCTGCGTCCTAATGCTGAGGACGTTTTGGAATATCTGGTAGCTGAAGATTTAGCTAATTTCGATTAATTCAATCAATTTTATATATATAATATGTATTTTAAATTAGCCTTTATCAAAAAATATTTTTTGTATAGTTTTATATATATTATATATGGTATATAAGAAAAAATGTTAATACATGTCGTTATGATTATAGTGGTAACTGTGATGGTTATAACAAAAAATAAATAAATCTCCACAGTCAGAGAATCACCAAATATGGAAATCGATTCTGGACAGACAGGGATAGAAAAGGGAAGTTATAATAATTCTTATTGTATACAACATTAGGGTTGTATTTGAGTTGGAGCAAATTCCAAATCTCAGAAGAGTCACTATCAAACTCATTTCTTAATGTCAAACCATTATTGGGGTATGGACAATAGAAACGTGACCAACGTCCCTGAGGACGAATTTGAGTTAATGGCACCCCTATATTGAATTCACTGCAAGGATCAATTTTAGCTTAGAAACCATACCCACTTTGCTTAATAAAATTTTGAGATATTTTCTGTTAAAGTTCTTAAACAATAAGTAAATTACTTGAAATGCAGATCTTTTTTTCGATTATCTCAAAATCGTGATTTTGACGTTGGACACATTTCTATTGTCCCATAACCCTATATATTAACAGGACATTTGGTTGAAGATCGTCATAATAATAATACTTATGATCCAGAAGCCATTATAAAATGTTTAATGATTTTTGATGAGGAAACAAACGTAAATATTTTTTTTATTTAATTAATATTAATATTAATAATTGAAAAAAAATTTTTAACATTTTATTTTTGAATTTAGACATGGTCATTAGAAATTGTGAAATCTAGTTATCATGTTAATATGGGTGAATTTGATAATTTTGAAACATCTAGTGAACTGCAAGGATTTGCTATAAAATTTGGCGAAATGGTTGAAGAAAATTACAATGCTGATGTTGATGTTCATAATAATAATGACAATGATAATGATATGGAAATGGATGAAGATGATGATAATCCATGGGGGAAGGATTATTTAGAAGTAGTAGAACCTAATACAATACAAAAAATAAGACACCTACAAAATGATGATGACAATGACGACGACGATGACTACGATGATAATGATGACAATGATGACAATGGTACAAGAAATAATTCATCAGATTCAGCTTCATCTGGTGATAATAGTAGTAATGATAGTTTATCTGAAAATGGTAATGATGATGCTTCGGATTCTGGGGAATCGATATTGAATCCTGAATTTGTTGAACTCGCATCAATGATGAAAACTTCATTGAGTCAAGAAAACAGAATCAATAACTTTAAATTGTACTATGATAAAAATAAATAACAAAGTAAGTTAATAAATCTTGTACATGTAGATGTGAATGATATAGCATATATACATATTAGTTAATCAGTCAATCAATCGTCTGTTGTTTGTTTGTTTAGTTGAATGTTGCAGCAAATCATAATTAACATCCTATGTTATTAGAACAATTTTTGGGTGGTGGAGGTATTTGTTATTATAGTATTTATTTATTCCATGTTTATGAATTAATTATTTAATTAAATAAAATTTTTGACATTTCTTTTAATTGAATAAACAAATGGTAGGCAATAATCCTCATGAAGAAAAAGATGATGATGATGAAAATGGTTCCTCATCATAAATAATAATCAACTTTTTTTTTTTTTGGAGGATTGGGATGATAAAACAAACATTTCTTTTTTGGAAATAATGAGATGGATAATTGTATTTTATTTTTCCAATATTTAATATTTAAAGAAACCTTAGATAATTTTTAAAATAATCCTGTGATAATGGTCAATTGATCATTTGTCATGCTAATCAATAATAAGTAAAAAAGTACATTTACATAGATTATTTTTATTTGATCATTGACTTTTGTTTTAATTATCATTTTATTTTATACATTCATACATTTTAAAAAAAAATTCATAATAAGAAATATTAAGCAAATAGCAAAAGATAAAAAAATGAAAAATGCTTTTTTAAATGCTTTTTTAGCTACAATATATATATATATATGTACACATATATATATTACTATTGCATAGGAGACATATTCAAATATTCACTTAATGAAAATGCAGTATCTGGTGTTTTCATATCATTAATTGATCGAATTTGGTTTGGAGGGGTTCCTGGACATTCAATCAAATCCTTTGATGATGAAGAAGATGAAAAAGAAGAAGAAGCATCAATATTTTCTTTCCACGGACCAACAGTTGTTTTTTGAATCTTTTGGTTTTTAATGGCGCGATTTGAATCTTCCCCCCAATCTACTTTTCTTCTATGTGACGATGATAACGAAGAGTTTTTTATTGTTGGTGATCCATAGTTCATTAAAGTCCATGAATGATGATTATTATTATTGCTACGGTAATAATGATGTTGGCGGTGACGATCATTGTTAATAATATAGTTATTAATATGATGATGGTTATTATTGTTGTTGTTGTTAAATCTATCTGACCCATAAGCACCATAATTTCTTTCTAATGAATTTAAATAGAGTTCTATGGAATTAGGATTCACCTCTATTGGGAAAAATGGAGGCAAAGTTTGTTCAAGAGAAGATGCATCAAAAGATGATAATGAAGCTGATTCTTGATCCAATGATGATAAAATAATAATATGCAAAAAAATATTAATATTAAATATTGTTAATGTTGAAAAATAAATAAAGTTATTAAATTGATTGGTTGATTACCTGTTGTAGAAGAGATTCTATCATTATTATTTAAGTGGCGTTTTCTAGTATTAATTCTTTTATTATTGTAGTGGTTGATATTATCAGTTGAATCATTAATATCAGATGATGATGATTTTGGTCGTTTTACTAATGAATCAAGTATTTCAAAGACAGCTTTAGCTTTTTCATCAGTGAATCCATTTTTTGATGGAGGTATGGGAGAAACATGAAATGGAAGATGTATTCTTTCTTTATTTGGATAGTTTTTATAATCTTCTAATTTTTGTTCTATCATTCTTTCACATGTTGATATATCACACTTTTGTAAACCCCATTTTACTTTAAAATAAGCAAACTGAAGTCCTGTTCTTAATTTTTTTGCAATCTAAGCATTGATGTTTATTTATTTATATATTGTAAATAACTTCAAATTTAAGTGGAAATATATAATATTAAAAATGTTTATCTTTACCTCATAAATGTCTTTTACTTTTGAATGATCTATTATGGGTTTTTCTGTTAAGAGTTTAACGATTTCTTGTAATTCTTTTGTCTCATCAACATTCATTATGAACTAATTAATAAATATATAGTATTGTTTAATTATCAATACATTCGCATTTATATAATTATTTATAAAAAATAAAATCTTACATATTTTTTTTATTTTTCAATATAAAATAATTCCTTGTGGATATATTTTTTTTTTTATTATTGTTAAAGAAAAGAGATTGATGATTGATAGGAGAGCATGGTTTATTTATTTGAAAAACCTTTTGACTTTTTGGAGGGAGTTAATTGAATTAATTGGTGATAATAGTGTGAAGTTTATTAGAAAAGGTTAGAAGATGAATATGCAAGCAAAGGATGGGTTGCTTACTAAAAAGGGTAATTAAACAGCTGCTTAAGCATCGTGAATTTATGTCGATTAATTGTTTATGTTACATGTCATGCACGTTAAATCTTGAATTGAAAAATAATCAATCATAAATTAAGATTAATTAATAAAATGGAATCAAACATTTTCCCACTTGTTTTACCTTTAGATAGAGATTGCCTTTCATATCAGGGTTTCATAACTATTAAGGTTAATTATTATTATAATCGTTTTCACAAAATTTTTTTGATATTAAATAAATTTATTATTATTTAATAGAAATGTGAATTTTTTATTAAAATTTTGCTTGATAAAAACAATGCACCAGCATTAAGAAATGCAAAAATTTATGGTAGCCCTGAATTCAAACGATTGATTTTTGGTCATGACAAAATCTTAAAGCAGGTAAAGAATCACAATTATTTATTTGTGCTGTTATAATTATTATTTACTTATGTTGAGAATTATTTAGAGATTGGAACAGTGTTATAATATCAATGAATTTTTTATTGATCTAAAAGATTTACTTGTAAAGTATATATTTATAAATATAAATATAAGCTCATATTATTTGAATCTTTAGTTTATAAGGAAGAAAAATTAATTATATATATTTTATTTTAGGAGCATCTAATGATCAAAGAAAAAGAAGAAGTAATGCCACCAGGAATTTATTATTCCTCGTTATTATCTGAGCTTGATAAAATTGGCTGGGATAAATTGGAATCGCTTGATCCTTCCTTGAAATCTTTGGTTCTTAGATTAAAGTATTATTTTTCCAATTACAATGAATTTACTTTTTCCAATTATATGATAAAATATTAATACCTAATATTACATACAGAACAATCCATCAATTAATTAATTAATATTATATACATGTATTAAAGTGATTCATCAGGTCGTCAACACAAAATAAATATAATGTTGCCTTTTTCTTATCCAAAATCACCTCTTATTATACAAACCGAAATTCCATCTGAAATTCAACTGAATCATATCTTTGACCTGAATGAAGTGATTTCTATTAGTTATAAAGTAAATAGTTTATATACATTCATATGTAAATATTTGAGTGTGTATATCTATAGGAAATCTATTAAAGAAGATTATTGATTATTTGAAAAAGGAAATAGAGAAATTTCAAGAATTTTGGTCAATGCTTGATGATATTGATCAGAACACTTGGATTTTAGAACCAGATAAACCTAAACGAAATGATTTAATAAGGAGAATTGCACTGGGTAATCATTGTTCTTTACAAATAAAAGTGAATCCTCAACACCCAAAAGATGTTTGTGAACTAAAGTTATTTGGAGCTGACAATTCAATTGCATCTTTTAAAGATAAATTCTCAAAAAATTTAAACAAATGGTTAATATTATTTATTTATTTTATTATTTTACTTGTAATATTTTATAAATTGCAATAATTAATGATTATTATTATTTATTATTTAAGGAATACGTCTCTTAACATTCGACAAAATCTTGAAAATATCTTGGAAATTAAATTTCCGTCATCTCAATCATCATCATCGCCTGGAGCTGATTATGAGATCGAATGTGGAATTTGCTATACATATCATTTAGAAAGTTCAATACCTGAATATTCATGTAATAATTCAAAATGTGGAAGGTTATTTCATCAAATTTGTTTATCTGAGGTAAAGAAATTTATCATATATGCAGTATATATTATGCACGTGTGTGTATTTATATAAAAATAAATAAATTTGACAAGTTTTTATTATTAGTGGCTAAGATCAATTTCTTCAATAAACCAAACTTTTAACTTGGTATTAACTGGAAATTGTCCATATTGTGAACAAGTAAGCAGTTAATATTAATTATAATTAATAATTGCAAACACTAATCTATTTTTAATATTAATTCATTTTTTCATTATTTTCAGAGTATCACAATACAAAATAAAAAATTATAGTGTATGGAAAAGATACATGAGAATTTTTTTTACTAATATTAATAATAATATTATCATCATTTTTTTTTTTACAAGATAATTTTTTTTTTACAAAAAATATAGATATAATAAATAGTTATCGTTCTACTTTGTATTTAACGTTACCAAATAACATCAAATCAAATTCTAATAAAATCTCGAACATCTTCATAATCTTTCATTGATTCTAAATAACTAATAAGATGTAGTAAAACTTCATCGTCGTCGTTGTTTTGTGTCCATTTTACTAATTTTATTCCATTTTCTTGAATAAAAAAATATATATGCATTGTAAATCATCATCAATTGTCACATTACATTACTACACGAAAAAAAATGAAAAGCAAATGAAGTATAATTATCATCTATCATACAAACTTTTTTAAGATCTGATCCTACAACTCCAAGATCTTTTGTGAATCTATTTTGTTTGTACAAGATGCAGGACTATATTATTTGAATTAATTTTAATTTTAATAAAAAAATTATATTTTATATTTTTAAAAATCAGTCAGTTTATATAATTTATAACCTCGCGATAAAATCTTTTACAAAAATATTTATTCTCCGGGTCTATATAATCGAGAATTTTGTTTGCATAATCAGGAACAGACGCTGTAAATACCACAATATTAAACCATTCACTAGTCTACATTAACAACAACAACAACAACAACAACATTATTATTATTATTATTATTATTATTATTATTATTAGCAGAGCAAATTAATAAAGAAATAAAAAAATATACTTTTTCTAAAAACAAATCAAGATGAGGTCTTTATAAACGTAATAAAGTGATTGTGAAAGATTCTTTCGTGGAATATAGCGCGATGATATCATCAAAAAACCAATATGATGGTCACTGACGTCACTGACCAATATTGCTTAGACTATTGGGGTGATTTTTTTGTAATCGCACAGAATTTCCGAAATTTACGTAAAGAACATAGTAAACATATTGTTTTCAAAACACTACTCCTTCTCCGTTTTCAAAGATATAGTCATTAAATTTCCATGAAAGGTAGTATATATATTATAATTTAATGCCATGGAAAGATTTAATGGATTAATAATACTAGTGGTGTAAAAAAACTCATTCGAAATACAGAAAATTTCTTTCTTTATCGTAATACTTCTATCTATTGAAACTTCCGAAAAAATTGTATGAAATAAAGATTCTCTCTCCATAGCACTTTTCTACAAATGTATCCTGATTAAAAACCTCTAATAATTTTATAAATGTAACGATTTTCCGGAAGCCTTAGCGATTGAAAGTTCATAATATTAATAAAACACTAATAACGTAATAACGTATTTGTTGCACTGTTTTTCTCTTTAGAGAAAAAAGGGGTACCATAAAAAATCCGCATATATGGATTTACATTATGACATTAATTAGATTTGTTAATCAACTTATATATATATATCGAATACCCCATTAAACTATATCATAACCGTGAGAAAAATGGGTCAGGTTACACGATCAAAATCATAGTGGGCTTCACGATAAATGCGTACTACCAGAAAATTTTGTTGAAAATATGGAAAAAATTATTAAAAAAAATCAAGACACTTTAAAATATAAATCACCATCTGGTCATGGTGAAATAATAATTAAAATGCCTTCTGGAACCAGTACTAAACCATCTTTTTCCACACTGCAAGCATCTTATCCATTGAAATTTCTTTCACCTAAAACATATACACCATATCTTGCTGCCATATACATTCTAACTTATGGCGGTGGAATGGTATCTGGTGATAAAATCTTTATTAATATTGAATGTCATGAAAATGTCAACCTAATGCTTTTAACTCAAGGTTCAACTAAAATTTATAAAAAACGACAGATATCAGATCAATTTAACAACAATAATGATAATGGGTTGGAAACAACACAGAACCTAAATGTTATTGTGCAGAAAAATTCTTTTGTACTTCAATTACCAGAACCAACAACATGCTTTTATGATTCAGAATTTGTTCAACATCAAAAATACTCATTAGAGAATCATACATCATCTGTAATTATTCTGGATTGGTTTACTAGTGGTAGAATGTCTCGTGGTGAACGTTGGGAATTTCTAAAATATGAGTCTGGCATTGACTTGTTTGTTAATAACAAATTAATATTCAGAGATGTTGTTTTATTAAAACGGAAATTTGATGATTATATTTCAAGATCTTCCACACCTAAAGAAGATAGTACTAATAAAAATAAAATTAACAGCAACAACAATAGAAATAGTATTAAGGAATGTTTAGAACCTTATAATTGTTTTGCCACATTAGTATTGTATGGACCAAAAGTTACTTTATTAATAAATAATATTGTAGAAGAATTTGATAAAATAGTTGTTGGCAAGGCAAGTAAAATGCCTGATTTGATATGGTCATCTTCTGGATTAGACACAAAACAACATAATGATGGTGAGATCTCTGATTTGAAAGGATTAGTGCTAAAGGTTGCTGGTGTGACTACTGAGATTGTGAAGAATTTTTTGATCGAAGTAGCATTAAAAGATTTAGATGAATTGGTTGGTGATAATTTATTTAAAAGAGCTCTATAATAGTAGTACATTATTAATTATTTAAGGGAGCATTATTTAAAATATATGTGTAATGCATTTCATATTAACATCAAAAAAATTTATTTCCACCACCACCATAAATGTCAACATCATGTCTGACATAATTTATGACAGCTTTAAACCCTTCAAATCAA